TGTGTGTGTGTGTGTGTGTGTGTGTGTGTGTGTGTGCGCGCGTGTGCATTCCTGGTTGTGTTTTGTTTTATGGTTTTGTCATCTGCTCTCACTGTACCCTGCCATAGAGCTACATCCCCAGCTCGGCGTCTGCATTTTGTGTGTCAGGAAGACTGAGGGATCCCCGTCTCTGCCCTTCACCATGCTTAGGAAACTAATGAAAAAAAATGCACTGGTTCCATTTTAGGGCACTATCTTGATCAGAAGAGGCTGAAGCAGGGGCTGTATCGTCACCCATGGGATGATATTTCCTATGTTCTTCCGGAGCACATGAGCATGTAACTGAATCAGGAACCTTGCTGTAGTAAAAGGAAGACAAGAGCTCCCTCCTGGGTAGTAATGGACAGACAGCTGGAAGCAGAGTCCATTACAGGCTGGGCCTGGAGCAGAAGTAGCCATTGATGTACAGGCACGGAAGACCAACACCTACAGGCTAGTACCCATTCAGTCCACACAAAGAAGCTTAGTATTTTTTTTTATATATATATATAAGCATAGAAATTGAAAACCAAGCCAATACTTGTGACATTTGCTCTGCTACCTGCTGTATCTATTATATGGAAGAATGGTGTTCTTCTAGGGCCTTATGATGTTTTCTTTTTTTAATTAGTTAAAAGCTTATTTTTGGTTTGGAGGAAGGGAATGCAACTTTTAAGACTTTAGGACCCACTAACATCTGGTATCCCACTTCTCGTTATCTTCACATAACATGAAGAACACTGTATTAGTCTGATTCATAAGGATCTTTTTCTTTTCTTTTCTTTCTTTTTTTTTTTTTGCTGTGTTATGTGTTAAGGGTTTATTTAGTATCCCACTGAAATGTTCTGTGTTACAGATCAGTGTCTACTTAATGTCAGAGGGAGGGGTGGGACCATTACATTCTTAGCCAATTGTCATACATATGTGGAGTAGTAACTTAAATGTAAAGTTGTAACATATGAGTGTTTAAAATGGAAACACAAGCAAAAAGCTGTGAAATGTCTTGTGTCTCATGTTCCGTGTTTATGCAGCTGATTTGTCTGTTACTGAAGTGTGGGTCCAAAGACTCATATAGCTGTTTTGCATCTGTAACCCACAAAGATTCCCGGCAGCTGCCACCTCAGTCTCTTCTCTGTATTATCATGTTTGGTTTAAATAAACTATACAGTAACAATGATGTGTCGCTGTTCTGTGTCATCTGCTTCTGAGACAAAGCTGTCCTGGAACTGTAGACAGTGTTGGGATTAAAGGCATGCACCACTACACCCAACTCTTAGTTTTAGCATTTTAAAATGTAGCAAGAGTTCTAATTGGTCTTAGTAATAAAACTCAGAGACAGATATTAGATATTAGATCACAAAACCAAAGCAGCCAGCCACTAGCTCTTACCTCTACCTCAGACCAAATGGGCAATCCTGACTCCATGAATTCTCAGACAGAATGCTCTCTGTGAAACCTCAAACTGCATCCTCGGACTGCCTCCCACTAATATTCCTCCCTCCGCCCAGTCTTATCACTCCTCTCTCCACCTCCCTATTGCTGGGATCACCTTTGTGTGAGCTTTCTCTTTTAGCCCAGGATGACCTTGAACTAAAGGCGATCTGTCTGACAGTTACTGGGATTAAAGGTATATGCGGGGACTGCCTGGCCTCTATGGCTAACTAGTGTGACTAACTGCACTCTGATCTTCAGGCAAGCTTTACTTGTTATATCATAAAATATCACCACATTAAAATCTACATCCAGTTAGGCATTGGTGGTGCACGCCTTTAATCCCAGCATTCCGAAGGCAGAGGCAGGCAGATCTCTGTGAGTTCGAGCCCAGCCTGGTCTCCAGAGCAAGTGCCAGGACAGCACACAAAGAATCCCTGTCTCAAAAAACAAACAAAAAAAAAAACCCAAAAATTAAAATCTACCTCCATCTCTTGAAAAGAAAAATATAATGAAAACACCAGTATATATTGTCATTGCCCCCCTCCACGCCAAAGGCAATAAAAACCTTAAAATTGAGGCTTAGTGGTACCTTTTATTCCAGCACTTGGGATCAGAGTTCAAGGCCAGCCTGATCTCTATGGCACCTACTAGGTTTTTAGACACTGAAGGCTTCAAAACATGATTTGTTGTTTGTTATTTTCAAGACAGGTTTTTTTTTTAAATATTTTTTATTATGTATACAACATTCTGCTTCCATGTATATCTGCACACCAGAAGAGGACACAAGATCTCATAACGGATGGTTGTGAGCCACCATGTGGTTGCTGGGGATTGAACTCAGGACCTCTGGAAGAGCAGCCAGTGCTCGTAACCTTTGAGGGAGCCATCTCTCCAGCCCCAAGACAGGGTTTCTTTGTATAATATTGACTGTCCTGGAATTTGCTTTGTAGATCAGGCTGACCTCAAACTCAGAGATCTACCTGCCTCTGCCTCCCGAGTACTGGGATTAAAGGCGTGGGCCACCACTGCCTGACTGTGAAACTTGTCTTAAAAAAGGGACAAAAGCTGATCTAGAGAAGTGGCTAGGTGGTTAAGAGCACTGGCTGCTTGTCAGAAGTCCTGAGTTCAGTTCCCAGAACCTTATCAGTTCACTCACAACCATCTGTAACTCTAGCTCCACGGGATGCTATACCTTTGGCCTCTGAGGACACCTTCACTCATGTGCACATACCCATATGTAGAGACACCTACATATAATTTATGTTTTTAAATCTTCAAAATTAAAGAAAAAGCTATTAAAACATGGGTGTATAAAAAAGAAAAATCCACTTCTAGCCCAGCAGTGGTGGCACACGCCTTTAATCCCAGCACTGGGGAGGAGGCAGGCAGATCTTTATGAGTTCGAGGACAGCCTGGTCTACAGAGTGAGTTCCAGAACAGGCTCCAAAAGCTACACAGAGACATAAAAAACCCACTTCTAACCTGCACTTCCCTCTTTCTCAATGGTAACTCTAGTCATTACTCAAGCCAAAAGCTGGAGTCACCCTTCTGTTCTCCTGGGTTCCAAGTTCTGTCGATTTACCTTTGCATCTCTCCTCTGATCTATCTATATCTGCTAACTGGTGCCCTTATTTCCTTCCTTGTCCTGGGACAATCCATCCTCCATACAGATACCAGTGACATTTAGAAATCAAGTTGAGGGCTGTTGAGATGGCTCAGCAGGTGAAGGCTTCAGCTGCCAAGCCTAACCTCATGAAGGTGATGCCTGGGACCATGTGAAAGGAAAGAACTGACTTCTTGAATGTTCTCTAACCACAGGTGTGCCAGGGCCCAGGCGTAACTACACTAAACACCTATTGTAAATAAATGTAAAAAGAAAATCAAATTAAGACATTTCACAAAAAAAAAAAAAGACACTTCACTTCCATGCTTAAAATCCCAAAGTGGCTTTTATTCATTTTGTTTTGTTTTTTGAGACTTTTTCTATGGAGTACTGGGTGTCCTGGAACTCACTCTGTAGACCAGGCTGGCCTAGAACTCACGTGGATCCTCCTATCTCTGCCTCCTAAGAGCTGGTTTATTCACTTGTATTTGGTGCATAAGAAATGGTATATGCAGCTGGGTGGCACACACCTTTCATCCCAGCACTTGGGAGGCAGAGGAAGGCAGATCTCTGTGAGTTCGAGGCCAGCATGGTCTACAGAGAGAGTGGCAGGATAGGCTCCAAAGCTACACAGAAACCCTATATTGAAAAACAACAAAAAAAAAACAAAAAAAGGCAGATATATATTAAGTAACTCTTCACACCTTCTTGCACTTAGCCAAAGTACAGTGTTGTTTGTTTGTTTGTTTTGTTTTGTTTTGTTTTAGACAGTCTAGCCCAGGCTGATCTACTGGAAATGGTCCTATGTTAGGGTCCCAAGTGCTAGGATTACAGGTGTGTGCCACCATACCCCTCTAAGACTCAAAGTCCTAAGCCTTATTATTCCCTTTTGAAAATCTATTTCTGGAGACTAGAGAGATGGTTTGTAACAAGAGTAAATAAAAGACCCAAAGACTGATATTGGGATTCAAACTTCAAGCTGAAGATCAGAAAAGCAAAGCAGCTAGCCACTAGCTTCTTACCTCTACCTCCGGCCTAATGGGCTGATCCTTGCTCCAGGAGCTCTCACCAAGCCTCAGACTGTAACCTCTCAGTGTAGCTGAAGAAAGAATGCCTCTTCTGAGACCTTGCTTCTGCCTTATATACTTCCCTAATGTTGGGATCAAAGATGTGAACTATAATTCTCTTTTAAACTGATTCACTATTGTGTAGATCTGGGTTGCCTTGGACTCACCAAAATCTGTCCACCCCTTAATCCTGAGTCCTAGGATTAAAGGTGTGTGAAGACAGAGTTTCTGTCCTGCCAGATCCCACAGCTGTTTAGTCCCAAATAAACACACAGAGACTTATAAACTGTTTGGCCAATGGCTCAGGCTTCTTATTGGCTAGCTCTCTCTTAATTATTAACCCATTTCTATTAAACCATGTTGTGGTGTCCGCGCCATGACTAAGTCTGAGTATTGGGCGAAAGCCTGGAGATTTAGTTAAAAGCAGAGATGTCCGGTCATTTGTGCTAGGAGAATGTGGGTCTCCGTCTTTATTCCAGGGAGAGAGCAGCCTTATGTACAGACTTACAGCACAGTGGAAAAATCCCAGGTGTAAGAGCTCACGTTTTTGATGCCAGTGGGGCAAGGCCAGGGCTGTAAGCCAGGACTAGAAAACTGGGTGCACCTGTGGTTATTGGTTGACAAGCAACTCACAGAGACCCCATGGGGGCTGGGGCCCAATACTATGTATTGCCACGAGACTGGCTTACCAGTAATGTTCTGTCATGTTAGTCCTTCAGTGGCTACATGGTGTCTCCTTGCCACTCTCTCTCTCTCTCTCTCTCTCTGTTCCTCTTCCCAGCATTCCTAGTCTGGTAGCCCTACCTATACTTCCTGCCTAGCTCCTGGCCAATCAGCATTTATTCACCAACTAATAAGAGAAACATATATTCATAGCATACAGATGGGTATCCCCCAGCAGGTGTGTTCCACCCCTCCTAGCTTCTGGCTTCTGGGATTAGAGGTGTGTGCCTGGCTTCTAAGGCTTATGTCTGACTTTGCTTTCTGAATCCTCAGGCAAGCTTTAATAAATCGTAAATAATACATCACTACAATAGTTCAGCAGTTAAGAGGTTGGACTTCTATCTTAGCACCCACAACTGTCAACATGAATGCCTGTAATTCCAGCTCCAAGAGATCTGAGACTCTTCAGACCTCTGGCCCCTGTCCCAAAAAAAAAAAAAAAAAGCACTGGCTACTCTTTCAGAAGACCTGGGTTTGGTTGCCATAACCCCCATATGACAGTTCACAATGATCACCAGTCCCTGGGAATCTGATGCCCTCTTCTGGCCTCAGAAAACACTGTAGGAAGGTGGTGCACAGATGTACATACAGGCAAAACACCCACATAAATAAAAAAAAGAAAACATGGCCACAGACATGGCTCTTCAGGTAGATGGATTTGCCACCAAGTTTGACTATCAGAGTTGCACTCACCAGGCCCACAAAGAGGAAGGAGAGAGCTGACTCCAAAGGGTGTCTTCTGACTTCCAGGCAAGCTGCTGTGGTGGGAGTACACACACACACACACACACACACACACACAGGAAAGACAAAATTGTATTCATTCTGTTTTGTGGACAGGGATGATGGCTCATTGGGTAACGGTGCCTGCCACCAAGCCTAATGACTCCGGTTTAAATTCCATTGTCTAATGGAGAGAACAGACTACATTAAATTGTTCTTTGTCCTCCACAAAAATACCCCCACATAAAATAAAGAACTGTAATTTTTTTCTTTAGATTTATTTATTGGTGCTGGGGTGTTAAACTGCCAATGCTTCTTAAATAGCTCATATTAAATTGGGTGTGCTCAGGTATACTTGAGTAATCCTAACCCTAGCATGGTAGTGACAGAAGAATCAGGAATTCAAGGTCATCCTCAACTACACGTGGCCGAGCTGGGCTACATGATGGCACTGTTGCAAAAATAGTTTATTTGAGCCTAACAATGGTGGCGCACACCTTTAATCCCAGCACTCGGGAGGCAGAGGCAGGTGGATCTCTGTGAGTTCGAAGCCAGCCTGGTCTACAAGAGCTAGTTCCAGGACAGCCTCCAAAGCCACAGAGAAACCCTGTCTCGAAACCCCTCCAC